GGTGCGCCGAGGGGAGCTCGGGCCGAACCACTCTGCCAGGCAGGTGGGGAGCGGAGGTAACGCGCCCCTTCTGCGAATATTTCGCCATATTAAGCACTTCTAACAAGGCGTAAGGGTAAATGCGAATATATAGAGTCGTTCTACGCTTCCATGTTCGATGAGGGAGGAAAAGCGACAAGGACTTGGTGGGACTGCTCCCCTGTGCTGTGACATGGTACCTCCCTTCCGACCGTTGGCCGGGTTCTCTGGCCGCGAGGTCGCGTCCCCCAGCGGCGGCGGCGGGAATCGGCATGGGTTTTGTCCTCCGGCTCAGCCCGAGGGTCTTTCCTGCCGCCCCGCCTTTGGGTGCCCGAGTGACAGGGAGCCAGTGGCCCATAGCCACGTGAAAGTGGCCATCTTGGCTGGTCAGCGGACGTTCCTTCGCACGGCCTTGTGCATCCCCGCCCTGCGCGCTGCTGGCGGCGGGCGACCCTGCGGGGGCCGTCTAGTTCCTAGCAATTTCTTGGTTAATGGTTCTGTGGGGAAAATGGCCGAGAAGCAGAATAAAGAGCGTTCTGTCATCGATATCAACGATTGCCGTCCCCTTCTCTCCCCCAGCGCTAAAGTTTCCGAGAGAGGCCCTTACCCTTTGCTGACCCTACGGTGGAGGCCGCACTCGGCCCCTCCAACTCCAGCCTTTTCTCTGCCCGAAAAAGGAGGCTGCTCACAAGGCTGACTTTGCATTTGCTGACTTTCCTATCTTAGAGGGGGAAAAAAAGTCGATGTTTAGAGTGTCATTTCAATCTTCCGTTCAAAAGACTGTTGAATATTTTGGAGGGGGGGGTGCCTGTGTCGCCCATGTGATTCAGCAGATCTCTTGACAAGGTGCAATGGTCCGTTTCCTGCAGCTTTCAGTTTAAAATGTCCACCTGCGTTTGTGCCAGTTTTGCCCATTAAAGGAATTATAGGGAAAGAAGGGAAAAGAACAAAACCAAACTTGGGCCAACGAGGATTTAGTGAGTCGGGGACCGATTTCATGGAGTCCGGGTTTGGAAGGAGCCCACAAGTGGCAGGTGGGCGGGTGACCCTTCCTCCCGCACTGGGGCAGCGAGCTTGGTGCAGGGCTGGTTGGAGGGCGCGGAGAGGGAGGGGGGGTTACACCCGCGGTGGCCCCAAGCTCAGGAAAACCGGGTTTAATGATGTTATTAGGAAACGGCCTGCTCCTAGGATAGGATGCTCATTATCCCGGGATAATGAATGAGACCCCCTTGCAGCCGCTTCCAGCTGCTAACTGCTCAGAGAATTAGGTAAATTCAGAAGAACCGTCCTCTCCGCGGCAGGCGGGAAGCGAGGTGGGCTTCCGATGGGGAAACAATAGAAGCATTTGGGCTGTTCTAGGGGGTTTAAACAAAGAACGTAAAGAAAGGGCTTATCTCTGGACTTCATGGCCACATCCATAGTCCCTCAAAGCAGGGAGCAAGAAAAGGCTAAATTACAAAAGAGACAGTATATATGTTATTTTTATTTGTTTCTATTTTTCAAACTAACTTCATGGAAAAAAATAACTGTAAGACTTTCATAATTCCTCGTTTGTCTGTTTCAGAGTATTTCACCTTTTTTAAAAAAAAAAAAGCAGAATGCCAATTTGTTAACTTACAATGAGTAATAAAATTCCCAACTGGAACAAATTGCATGTGTAGGCTGGTCAGTGCTTTATCTTCCAGCAGAAAAATCTATACAGGAAGCCAGACTATAATTAGAAAGTTATTTGATTAATATGGAGTCAGAACAAGGGGATTAAATTCAGTGATTAGGTCATTAAACCCTGTACCCCTATGCTACCAGCTCCACAGAGGGGCTGTTCCTGCCAAGGAGGTTAGAATCAGCTGTTCCGGCTTGCTCACCTACTCGTTTTTGTTCTTAGCGTGTAATTTAATGGTTAAGAGTAGGGGTTTTGGAGTCAAGCCTCTGCCATGAATCGTGTTGCGCAAACAGCTTACCCTCTACACCTCAGGATTCTCAGGCTGTAAAATTGGGATAAAAATGGTACGATTACAGAATTGCATCAAGGATGCAACAAAATGATGCAAGTAAAGTCTTTAGCACATAATAGTTAGCTGTAAAAAAAAATTAATAACCCTTCAGTGGCGGCCAATTCTGTAAGGATCAAGACCCAAATCCCTAGGAACCCTTAAAGGCCTCAGTGTGATTTGGCTGCTCTTCTTCAGCCTCATCTTGTGCCACTTTCTTGTTTCTGTATTCTACTTTGGTTTCCTTTTAACAGTTAAACTGATTGATTGATTACTCTCAAAACAAAGCAGAGCTCATTTTCATTGACTTACATTTTTCACATTGTCCCTTCCTCCCATTTCTGTCAAGCAGACCCAGGATTGGTGCTGTGACAGTCCTGGTCTCTGCCCACCGGGAGCTCTAAATGAGGGGAGATGCCTGGCTAATTCCTCCTCATCCTTCCTGCCCCAGCTCAGCTGTCACTTCCTGGATGAAGCCTTCAGCTGCCTCCTTCCGGATGAAATCTTCACCTACACAGATTTCTCACAGGGTCCTGTGTTTTCCTACATGGCACTCAGTGCTGTTTGAAATTACATACAGATTTGGTGATTATATGATGCATGTCTCAACTCCCAGTGAGATTTGTAAGCTCCATGACAATAAGATGGTGATCTTTTTTGCTCAAGCTTTGTTGCTGAGAGCTTGACACATAGAAGTTACTTAAGATTGAGGAGAGGGAGAGAGAAGAGTGGGAGAAAGGGAAGGAGAAAAAAGGAAAGAGGAGATAAATACAACGGATGGCACAAAGAAGTGGGGAAATGAGGGACCCCTGGGGACCATGTAAAATCAATGAAAAGAGCTACTGCCTTGTTTTAGTCTCAAGCATTATAATTAATAACATAGAGAGCTCTTCACTCGCAAGGAAGTTCATTGCCATCCTGTTCTGAAAGGAATGAGATTTCTGATTCCACACATTAGTGCCCTAAGGTTAAAATAAACTAGGAGGAGTTTTTGATTTATTTCATATATAACATGAATGAGATGTGTGGAATGTGAAACGCTGTATAGCACATAGAAAAAAATCTAATTGCTGCCTAAAGGCTCCACATCTCAACCCAAAGAATGTGGCCGTAGTTCCACGAAAGAGGCAAGGTTAGGATTCGATAAACAGGTGTTTGCGACTCAGACAGCGAGTGTGACAACTCCAGGTCTTACCAGTCTGCCAGTCAAGAGAGAGTTCTAGTGAGAGAAGGCATTTGCAGTACAAGAAGCTGTTGATTTGGCAGGAGAGCAGAGGGAGATGACACTTGGAAAAGCAATAGGGAAGGCGTGGAGATGCTGAGACGAGAGCCCCTAGGCTTTCGAGACTACCTTCTATGTGATGACGGGCCAAGAAGAAAGAAGTCTAGGTCAAGTGTTTCCAAAATTGTGCCAGTTCTATGGGGCCAAAGCTCAGACAGGGCCTCAGAAACAAGCTAGCTCTGGTGGGATCTGAAACAAGTACCGTGTGAATCCTCTCAGTTTTTGGCATCTTGTAATTTTTGTTTGTCTGTTTTTCTCTCCAGATAATCAAATCTTTCAATGATCCCAGTAGGTAGGGAGGGCTGGAAGAGTGCATGGGGTACAATGAAGATGACGCTGAAGGAGATAGTAATGTAACGATGACAACGTCTGTAATTTACTGTGACGGGCACTGTTCTAATGTCCGTGCCTCACAACGGTTCTCGTAAGGCGGAT